GACACAGATTAATCTACCGTCCACGTTAGAGTGCAGTGGCATGCATGTGTGCAACTACGACTCGAGGCACCAGACTCCTTGAGACGTCGTCCCGTAGAAACAAGATTTTACTTAGCACAGCGGGCACAATGTGAGTTTTCGCCTGAGCCATTGCCCACACCTTCACCTCCTAATTGACGATGCAGTAGTGTCGAATGTGAAGCAAGGGATTCAGTGACCTGAATGCCATGCACAACACGCGCACACGAGTTTTTTTTCTCTAGAAAAAAAAACGCGATTTGCACAGTGTGCCGGCTCGTCCAATCACGAGTCAGGCAGGTGTTGACGAGTGTACCAACGCTTGGGCTCCACAAAAAACCCGTGCAAAAAGCGCCCTCGGTCGGCGTTTTTCGACAGTTCATCCACTCGCCAAGCGAGGCCGCGAGATGCGTGTCCGGTGCACTTAGAGCGGTGTCCGCAAAACAGTCAGGTCACGAGGTCACTGGTAAAGTGCACGAGGGATGCACACACGCACGCATGCACGCAAAAACACGCACGCACGTCTCTATATAAAGGTAGACGCAGGGGATGTGGGCTTCATACGATCAGCAGCATGAAACTCTTGACAGCGGTTCTGTTCGTCTGCGCTGTGAGCTTGGTACAAGCACTGGTAAGTGAATCCAGGTCATTTACGAGAGTTTAGCGAGTCGCTGACCACGCCAGGCTTCGAGATGATGCAAATTGGCGCGGTGACCAGAGATACTCCCACGAGAGGGCGTCTAGGACTCAGGAAGTGCCTCAACCGAGTGGAATGACTCGAGAGAACTACTATCGAAATGTTGGACAGCCTGGCTACGCCGAGCGTCGTGGATACCAGACGTCGAGATATCGGCTGCTTGGAGGGCACTACGGCAACACCACACACTATCGCACCGAGGACGCGTGGATCCAAGAGGAGACGGCACCTCCAGACTACGGAGGTCAGCGCGGTGATCCTAGACAACGCACAGCTGACGCCCCAGAGGGATTGCGTCATCGAGGCTATCAGCCGGCAGTAGGGGGAGAGGATCGTCGCGGTGGACGATATCCCTATTCCGAGAGTGACATCCAGAGGAATCGCCAATCGGGCAGATCAGAGCATCCAATGACACTTCAAGGACATCCAGCTGGTTCGCGCGACGACGCCTACGCTCGACACCAGGCCGAAATCGAGCGAATACGTCGGCTGAACGAGGAGCGAATGCGCAGGTACGAGGAAGAAAAGGCGGCATACTACGGCCAGCACCGTAGACATAACATGTGAACGAGTCTTGTTTAACGAGTAAAGCCGTGGTCCCAAACAAAACCGTCTTCGTGTTGGGGAACAAGGTGTGTGTGTGTGTGTGTGTGAGTAAGCTTACATTGGTTCAATCGCACAGAGCCAATCACCACCACTCATCGAGTACATGTATTTAGACTCCTGTCTAGATAACTGACCCTTTGACTAAAAATGACATTTAATTGACCTTCCACATGGACATCGTGGTGCAGTTGAGAAATGAATGAAGTCACTGTAAAAATTTACCACTGTCCGTGTTCGAATTGTTTCCAATTAACCAAGACCACTTTTCGAAACAGCCGCAAACTCTGCTTCAAAAGTGACCTTCGAATGATTCTAATCTCGTCAGTGAAGAAACTTAGGTGTTTTTTTGGTTGCTGTGCATTTTGCACACTACACCAAAACAAACAGATGAAGGGCCAATTGGTGAGCAGGCACGTGCATCGAAACGACCAATAGCAGGAAGGCTGGCCAGGGCGTCAGGTAATTGGCGAATGAGATTAAACGTAGACTGGAGTGCCACCGGTGAGGGTAGAATTGTAAACACCCAAGCGCGGGTAGATTTGATTATTTTTTTTTACGTAGAAAAAGCCAGCCCCTGGAAGCTGGCTTTGACAGTTCCACTGTGAGCGTATGTGAGTGCTAGGGGTAAACATTAAAACGATTGTGTTTATGTTACCTCCGCTCTGTTAAACACGAAATCAGGTACATTCGAACTGGGGAGTAAACAAGTGGTAACCACGTAACTTGACGCCTTTCAGGTAAGCTTAAGGCTAATGACGTCGCTCTGAGAAGGTGGCCAATCAGAACGCACGTCAACAGCCCCAGTGATCGCGATTGGTCCACAGCCTAGGTTATCACTTGGAGTGATTTCACCTCATCCACAAGTTGGTTAAAATGGCGAAATATAATCGAAATGTCAACATTTTTATCCCCCGCAACTGAGCCACAGACAAAGACATGTTCAGTGCTGCATGACAACATGGCCACGATTCCAAAAAAAACATCTTGAATATTATCTGGGGTGGTTCTAGAACGACCTTTTTATTTAAAGCAACGTAACATTACGTGACCACAGAGTGACTTGTCATTTATTCTGTAATCATTAACTCTGCAAACAAGTCAATTTGAACAATAAAATGGTTGAAAATTCATCCAAGAAATCCTGAAAAATTTTTGCACTGTTTGCGCATTCGTGCGATAATGACTCTGCTTGGTGCTGGTGTTGAGAATTCCGAATATGATCTCCAGGCCATTTAGATTTCAACACCGAAAGATTTAACCAGCTGTTAAAGCCAACGAGGCCTACGCTCACATTTCATTGTGTTCATATCTCCTGATTTGGGTTAGTGAAAACTGAAAAGTTCTCGCCCTTTTCACATATACCTACATCCCAAAACATATTCGCTACTCATTTTAAATTAGTAGACATCTTATGGTAAATTATGACGGAGGATAAGCAGAAGGCAGGCCATACCGTTGCCGCTGCATGACAACGCTCGACCATCTCATGTTGGTTGCGCAACTCAGAAGATTCTCTTGCATTTGAGATGGGAAGTTCTCGATGTGCGCAAAGTAATTATCCACTATTTTTTGTAATTAAGCATATTTGCTCAGAATTTGTAAAAAAATAAGTCGCACACCTATTAAAAACCATCGAGGAGGGATGGATAAGCAAGACACGCGACTCACAAAGACAGGTTTGACCGGATGGACAGAGACACTGGTAATCGCCAGGCCGATTCGTGCAAACACCGCCGCGGTGCGTGCATTCGGCGCGCACTGCCGCATCCTCACACTCGTCGACGTCCAGACAGACGCGACCTTGTCCCTTCAATCCATTCGCGGCGCTGCCACCACCTGCAAAGAAGAAGCAATCAGTGAAGGGGTGTCCATGTCAGAACGGACACTGTGCTCAAACACGATCACCCTCGACTGATGCGCCAATCCGAGCACGTGACGCATGAGCCAATCCGAACTCGTGACGAATGGGCCAATCCGAGCACGTGACGCACGAAATCCAGGGTGGTCCTTCTCTTAGTTGCACGCGCAAGCTTCGATTTAATATGCAAACATGTGGTGTCGGTGGAGGGATGATTTATGCATTTTCAAGCACACGTGACCACGCCCTCGGTGTGGGGCCAGCCGCCACCCAGGCTCCCACCAACCCCGCCAGTGTTAAGCTAATCATCGTGCAAAATCTCGCGACTGGGCTCAAGCGTGGACGGTGGACACGTCTGTGTTTGGCGGGAGAATGCAACCCATCAGTTTTGCAAATACAAATTGACTAACATAAATTATAATACCAGTTTCACCCATTACCTCCAAGGGCACAATTTAAGGTCGGGTAAAATTTAAAAAACGCTCATCTTTACCAAAATGCGAGCGTTGATTCGTGCGGTCTGGTCAATTCTTACAAAACCAGTAACTTCGCATGTTTAATTAATTTAACTGTGCGAAGCCCTGGTATACTAAACAACGAGGCGTTTGTGTGGCAGATTTTTCTGTCATGTGAGCGCATCACATGCCTATCCGTCTACTTCAAACATCAACGCGAGCCGAAAAACTGTGTGGTTTTCCAGCAGTGCACCCTACCGCACGAAGGTTAGCGTGAAAACCTGCGATAAGGCAGTGGCGTGTGTGAATTGTGAGGCCAAACGTTAATGTTCCAGTTTCAAGAAACTTGAAAGAAGCGCAGGCAGTGGCAAATTCGGTATTTAAACAATACTCGAGGCTCTAGAAGTGAATTTGCTCGAACCACGTGCTCCGACCGGCAACTGAGAAAAAAAAGCCAAGACGGTTTTCCACGCCGTGAATTAATGTGTCCGTACCGTAGCCAATCAGACGACTTCTGTCCTCAGGCCCGGCCGGACGGTAGCCGCGTTGGCAGATGCACGCGTGTCCGGCGCCGGGGTCGCAGGAGTGGTCGCAGACGTAACGCTGGCGACAGCTCCGAGTGCTCTGGATCCACCTGGCGTCGACCGCGTCTACAACGAGAGACCGAACGCCACGGTTAGGAAAGGCCGATAGTCAACGTGACAGCAACGACATGTACACCCAAGCTTGGTTGCATTATCAGCTATCAGGATTCCCATAATCCGTGATATTTAGTTTCGTGTAGATCTGAATCTTTCAGGGATGTGACAAAGACATCGCACAAATATTTTGCTTAGAGTAGAATTATTATCAGTCTGTGAATGACGAGGTGCAGCCGTCAGATTGTCGAACGTTCAAGAATGCCCTTGAAGATTGCGTGGACGAACAAGGATTGGTGGTGCCTTCAGTG